GGCTAATTTTGTAGACATAACAGGACACGAGTACACCCAGCATGGTTTGCGAACAGACAGATTTAAAACGTTTCTCTGAGAAAATAGATGTCTACAGGAATGGATTAATTAAAATGACTGTGTTACCTGAACGTAATCTCCCAGCCTGTACAAACTGAAGGACTTTGAAGCGGCCTCAGCAGTGGCTTCCGCAGCCAGTACTTGCATTCGCTGTGGATCTTCAAGAATGGTTGCGGTTTGACTAGCGGAAGTTTCCACTACCTCGAAAGGCAGGCTAGCATTAGCTATTCGTTGGGCCCGCTCGGAGATGGCACGCAAATCCTGTGGCGCAGGTTTCCAATCGGCAATCTGCGGTGCCGATGGCGGTGCTTTGAGCCGTACATCAACTACGAAGCTGCCGGACTCGAGGGAGGTTTGCGGGAAGTCCAAAACGCTTAGTTCATATTCCTTGCGGAACGAGGATACCAGTGCGGCAGCCAGAAGAACTTGAGATGACCGCCAAAAAGCGAGATTGGCAGGAGTAGGGTCGTGGTGAATATCCTTTAAAAAGATTCAAGGGACAAATTTTCACGATTGTACATGAGATTTCGAAATGAGTAAAAGACAAATTTTAAGTCAAAATAATTTGCAGTTAGGAGAAACTGAGTACTTTGTTAGATAGGCCGCAGGAGTCCGTGAACGCTGAGCACCAACGGCCTAGCATACATCACATAGTTAACCTTATTGCTCAAATGTCCCGATAACCAGACAGGTTTGCCGCCCTAAACTGCTCTGAAAATGAAAACAAGTGCGAATTAAGGAATGTAACGTTTAAAACAGCTTCGGACTTTGACTAAAACTAAATAGCGGCCGCTATAAACCACTATTATCTAAGCACAAAATATTCCCAATGGGGACTTGTGCCGTCACATGCTGCTCTTGGCAAAGTAAAAGGTTGTAATCAACACAGAACAAGAATCGCTATTTTGCGGAATCGACACAGAGAGAACGTCTGTGGGACCTAGTGAAAAGGGCGAAGAGATTATCCGCAAATATACTTCTTTATCTATTTAATCTTATATAAATCCGGGTAACCGAAAAAAACAGTTGAACGTAACATTACAAATGCTTGGGGTCACAGAGAGGCTTTTGGTGCCCGCGGAATCATAGGAAGATGGTTTTAAGAACCGATAGCACATAGCGTGAGACTAGAGCAACAAAGAAAGTGCGGGTTCTTTTGTTAACTTAGCTCTTGGCTGTGCGATAGGTCTGTTAGTGGTGGAAAGTAGAGCAGCCCTCCATGAGGGGCAGAAGTGAGCTGAGCGGTCACGGACCAGCAGAAGTGTTAGCAGGGAAGTTCTACGGAACTTACTCCGCTTGTTTAAAGTCTAACATGAGAACACAAATTTAGTTTTATGTTAATGGCAAAAGAACTACTTTTTATCATATTATCGTCAAGGATTCTCAGGCTCCCCTGATCTAGGGAATTATCCTAGATTACGTGACAAATGGGGTTCTACAAAATACTGTGGTCTAGACCAGACAAATTCGGTGGAAGTGGCTTTCGCAAGACTCTAATGAAACCTCCGATGTGGGCAAAAATGGTGTCAAAGCGAAACTTAGCGTATGAGGCCTCCAACATTACTTTTATTCGGCCTGAGATGGAACATGGCTCGTACGCTTCAGAGACAGGCACTGCCTGAAAGCATCTCATCTTCAAATGCCTCTTTGAGAACGTATCAATTTACCGGTCACGGAGTACTTGCAGCAACCGTACTTTGCTAACTGGGTCATGTGCTGCGTAAAAAACCGATTAAATAACTGTCTAGGTCATCTAACATGAACCTGACTCTAGTTGGAATCGAAGTTGGGGCGACCAACTGAAGACGTGGACGTGCATTTCTGAAAGAGAGGGGGGAGCTAACATACCGTACTTATTTCATGACGTATCTAGACAATGCTTGTGAACTTGCACAAGTAGCAGGTTGGCGTACATTGTTGTAAGTGGTAAGGATAAAACGATGACAAACTTCACGGAAATGCACAACAGTCTCAGCGGTCCTGCAGAGACTGGATCAGCAGAAGAGCCCTGCAGCTGTCTGCTGAGACGAATCGAGCCAGGGCACACAACGATGCTTCTTTCTGCCAACTCCGAAAGCTGACAGCAAAGTCGGCTAGAGATGACCGGCAGAAGTATTCGTCCGAAACGTGGACTTCTATGGAGCAGGCTTCAAATGCTGGTGACACTCGAAAATTGTACCAAATTATTCGCCAAGAACTAGATAGAGTACCGAACAAACTCATCGCCTAATATCGTTCCACCTTCGCACGAGTTCTGGTCCAAAAATCTCTCTCAACCGATCGATATCCGGTCTGGTGTCTGACAGAGCTGCGTTTTGTTGCCCATTCTGTTTAACTACTTAATTGACTGGATTTTCAGGAAGGCCCTATATGAAGAAGACGGTGTTGAA